CCAACAGACCCCTGGCAGTCTTCAAGCTGGCACTGGACAAGCACCTAAAGTCAGTTCCTGATCAGCCGGGGGTGTGGCTCGTACGTTGGTTTGCGTGCAGCCAGCAGCAACAGCCTGGTTGATCAGGTGCTGATCCACCAGGAGGCCTGGTCACAGACCGGGCCGCGGGGGCGTTGACCCCCGAAACTCTCTCCAGGTAAACTCCAGGTAAAGAGGAGGCCCAGAAACTTGACTGTATCACGTTCAGGGATACGGGAGCCATAGAGGTACAAAGGATGATCAGAGATGACAGAGGTTAGTGAAAGTAATTTGGTGGGTTTTAGTGCTGGAAAATTTAAACCCACGTGTGGTGGCCCAATTGGAAACACGGTCGACTGCATGTTGGAGAGAAACTGTAATGAGGTGACAGTCAGCGCCTGCACAGGAAATAGCGAAGTCATCAAATAGAGGATGCCCCAAAAATTTGATGGAAAACTAGAGGCCAAATTTAAATTTAGCAAGGGAAAAAAGGGTTTTGCTCAGAAAACATCCTGAGGGACACCTTCGTTTGGTAAAGTCGGGGAGAGCACATTATTAACCCCAACACGGGGGAAAAGCCTGTCAGTTTTAAAAAAATTCTTTAAAGGGAAAGGGTGGTAGATTGCCTCGAAAAGGCCCAAGAGTGGGCTTGGGTAAAAAATATAAACCCCCAAGTTGTGTCATATGCCTTCTCAAGGTAAAAAAATATGGCAAAACTGAGGGGTTTTTCCCAAAGGCATTACGAAATACGTACCCAAGCATAGAAAGGGGTCAGGGTAGAACGCCCCTTCGAAACCCAATTGACGAGTGGAGAGACTGTTGTGTGTCTCTAAATCCCACACAAAAAGTTATTTACGGGCGTTCCTTTTACTTTGCAAACTGCACTGGTAAGAGCAGGGGGACGATAGTGGGGGGTTTTCATGCCCCCGTAGTGCTGGTTTGGGGGAAAGGGAGAACAAGGGCGGTTTTCCCACAGCGGGGAAAACCCCTTGGACCAAAAAAAGATTGTAAAGGCGTAATAGGACTGAAAGGCGACGATGTAAATGTTGTACATACAATATGAATTTCGGGCCCCATTTCCCGATGATCGACAAGGAGGTGTTGCCTCCAGTTCTTAAAGTGTAAAAGGCACATTATACTGTTCAGAGGTGATGGTGGAGACATAATCTCCCCAGAAAAGTGCGTTTAGCGTACGGAGACACGGCAGCGATCGCCGCTTCTGTTTTAAAATAAGGATCTCTTGGGGGTTCTATTTCCCGGGTACCTGCCCCAGCAGCGCTTTTTAAACGTCTGCACGACACAAGCGGGGAGACCACCAGGCACGCATTTCTGAGAATCCTGCCCTTTTGGGTATAGAATGAAGCGCGGTGAAAAACGGGGGGACGAGAAGAGGTGTAAAAGCTATCGTGGGGGACAAAAAAGGAACTCTTTAAAAACAGTTAGGGGGGAGTAAAGGTTCCAATTTGCCGATTAAATTGCCAGCGTGGGGTGCGAAGGGTGGCGAAAATTTAAGGGGGAAGTAAGAATGATTGGGAAATGATCACTGTCATGTAAGTCCGGGGGAAAAAACCCAATGAATCAAAAGCGGCGGAGGAAGGCAGCTAGAGATCGAGCAAGAGAGAGTATGAGTCCGAATCAAAATGGGTTGAGTACTGTATTTAAAACCCCCCCGGGGGGGTGGGGGGCAAGAAAAGCCCCTACGAATTCCTGGGGGAAACACAGTGGACCCCCCCAAGGAAAAGGGGGGCATTAAAATCACCAAATAACAAACGGTGGCGGGGAAAAAGAGAAACAAGGAAGGCAATATCCGGGAAAAAAAATCCCGAAAAAGGAGAGAGTATAAAGACAAACGTATACCACTATGTAAGTGGATACGGGCTGCGTGTAAGCGGAAGTATAACAAATAGCTGATGGTACGGAATATCTGCAGAAGAAGGGTATTTTTTAAAAGGCCCTCAGGGAAAAAAATCTGAAGAATACAATAAAAATTTTTTGCCCGAGATGGGGAAAAACAGCAGAGTGTAATTTTGGTTCCTGTAAGCAAACACCAACAGGGGAAAACTGGGAGAGTAACATCTGAAGCTCACCCCGATTACCCCTGAGGCCGCGTATTTTTCCACTGTAAATAGGCCATGATTGGCAATGATAAAGATACTTGAAATCCGCAGGTAAGGGTTCCTACGGACTAGAGGGGTTAGAAAAGTCCACATGCGGAGGCAGTGGAAAATGTTCAAGCAGCGAAGGAACGGTGCGCTGTGAAGAAAGGAGTTGCGCAGATGGAGCAGAGGAGAGAGAAAGAGCGGAAGGTGGATCAGTGTCCATTGATGGTTTGGTCTCTGCAATATATTCAGAGATTGCTTCAAGTGTTTCTGAATTCAGAGACGTCGTATGGGAGACAATATTGGAAATGGTAGGGGGAGGATGAGTAAAGATTGGAATTGTTTTGGGACTGTACCAAGGTAGGGGGGGGGCGAAAGGGTGGAGGAACTGGAGAAGCGTGGCAGGGGACAGAAGAGGCAGGAACCTGGGACGTGGCAGAAGAGAAGAAACTTGGGGGGGAACAGGGGAGGAAGGTACAGTACGAGGAGGAGGGTGAACCTCTACACTAGTAACTGAGCCAGTGAGAGGGGGAGAACCAGGGACAGAGACAGGGAGGGTAAAATGAGGAGGTGGAAGATGGGTAGGAGGTGTTAACGGACCTTTTTTTGACTTTTGAGAAGTAGAGGGACGATTGGGAGGTGTCGTACGAGGTCTCGTCGATACTGAGGCTTGTGAGAGAGAACTCGAAGAAGCGAGATCAGACTGAGGCGTTGAAGTAGGACGTCTGAGCCGAGGACAGCAAAAGGATTAGATACAGGAGTGACTATGGGAGAGGTAACCACAGAGGTGGGTGTAGAAGATGGGATATCAGAAGTGGGGGGACGTTTTGAAACACGGGAATAAGAAACACGTGGAAGTCTCCCTTGGAGGCGGAGATGAGAAACTGCCATGGCATAAGGGAGACCTTCTGTCTCTTTGAGGTAACGGATTTCCCGCTCGTTTAAATAGACTTGACAACGGCGAGAGTACGAAGGGTGAGCCTCATGACAGTTAAGGCAAGAGGGAGATCAATTGCAAGACGTATTAGAATGGTCATCGGCACCACAGACTGGGCATTCGGCGATAGATCTGCAATATTTCTCTGGATGGCCAAATCGCCAGCAATTTCTACACTATTGTGGTGTAGGGATCACCTTTCGAACTTGTAACCAATGTCCTGCTATATAAACTGAGGATGGGAGTTCTCGGCTGTCAAAAGTTAAACGAGCCACATTGCTAGGGTATCGTCTCCGCCCGCGGGCAGGAAGAACGTAAGTGTCTACCTTGAGGATTGGGAGATCTTGGAGTTCCAGCTGTTCAAGAATGTCAGTGCCACATGTCTGGAAATTTTGTTGAACTATGGTATGGGGCAGAATGACGGTACCACTACAAGAATTGAGGGAATGATGTTTTCAAGAGTGACAGGAACAGTATCGATATGGGAAAGACAAAAAGCTCATGAGCCTGGGTAGCATCTGTACGGTAATGATGCGCGTACCGCTCTTAAGAGCATGAAAAGAAATATCTTTACCAACATGGCGTAGGAGTGCCTTGCCAATACTGTGGTCAGAAAGATAGGCAGTAGAGGAAGTCAGTCGTAAAGTGAAGAATTTAGTCCATTGTTCAGTCTGAAACTGAGCATGGAAAGGTAGTGAAGGACGTGTCGATCGTTTCTGAGAAGAACGAGAAGGTGGAGATGTATCATCAGCAGGTAATTGTCGTTGGCGTTTAGGCGTGGGACCAGAGTTGGTCTGACATGGAACGGGTCGGCGATTTGAAAATTGCCGCACCGTAGAGGGAGAGGCCGGAAGCATAGTCAGAGGAGAGCGAAGGTCCGATAAATCGAAGGAGTCAGTCGAGGCCTCAGTACCTGAAGCGGGTGAGGAAACAGCACCGTCAATAGGTACAGAGGCATGAGGAGTGTCTGAAGAGTGGTCCAAAGACGAGGTGGGGTCAGAACGGGGTGCGGTATCAAGAAGGGGCCTGGGGGTAGTAGGTTCATGGACTAGGGGTGCCATGGTTAGGTTACTTGTTTCTTTTTGTTTTTAAGAAAAAAAAAAGAAAGAAGAAAAGAAAATAAAAATAAAAAAAAGAATAAAAAAAGGGGGGACCGGGGAGGGATAGTTCCTAGGAGGAATGAAAGGGCCAGAAATCTCCCTCCGCGCCCAAGAGGACCTCAGCACCGCAAGTAGCGCAGATGCAGCATGGAACCCGTGCCATACCCTACCCATCATGCTAGTAAACTAACAATCCGGGATAGCAACCTCACATCTGCCGAGCTACCTCGGTGGACAAAAGAGAGGGCGGCCGGATATCCGCCACAAAGCATACCTCCTTCGGCCACCACCCCCGGAATCCGAAAGGTGGCTTCCAGAGATACACCCGTCGCCCGAAAGACACCCAAAGCTACTCCGGATACCGGGGAGGGATCGGGACATCCCCAGGCGATCCAGATTCCACGGCAAACTAACGCCACCGCCAAGAACCTCAATGGGAAAGGGATAGACCCCGGTATCCTTTCCCCTACCTAGGAACTAGCGCGCCTGTGGGAGAAATCCCAAAGGCCAAAAAGAGGAAGGGCAAAAGGGAGGGGTGGGGAGGAGGAGGAGGAAAGGAAAAAGGGGAGGATGGGATAGGGGAGGGGAGATTGGGGGGTAATTAGGTTCGGTCTGAGGAAGAAGACCGACAGGTCTAATTCCTCAGACCAAGAGCCTCTTCACCACGCCAAGGAGCCCCCCTTGAAGAGGTGGACTGCAGTAAACATTAAAAATAAATGTGTAAAAAGTACAATTTACCCATGGATTTTGCACATTATTTCATTAGTCCATTATATTGAGGGTTTACTTTTGTAGTACAGTATATCATATACAAAGATTTCTTACCAAGACGTTTTTTCATTTCAGAAGCAGTTAATGGCTATGGGAAAAGACTTCGTCATTGTTCTTCTGTCTGAGATCTTCCCAGCAAAGTTAGCGGCCATGAGTGATATAGAAGCATGGGTGCAAGTAGCTTGCCCACGACTTTCTATTGATTGGGGAGCTTCATTCCCTCAGCCATTGTTAAACCCTTATGAAGCAACCGTGTCTCTTAAACATGCTGAGTGGCATGCTAAGCATTACCCGATGGACTTCTATGCCAATGAAAGCTTAGGAGAATGGACACCTAATCACAAACCACCTTGTCCTTGTGGTTTAAATCGGACCACTGGTTGCAAAGGATTAAGGTGCCCAAGTGCACAGAATAAGTAATTTATTCACATGTATTATACCCCAGATTCTACTGTACATTCTTGTGGAAAAGAACAGTTTATAATGCATCTATGTAAACTATAGTTTTTTTACCCTGCAGATTTTGGATAAATATTGTAGCTATTATTTTTGCAAAAGTGTTAAACTCGTACATTGTATTTTGATTAGGAAAAGTACTAAACCTGTAGAGGTCATATAGAACCTGGGAATGGGAGGTATATTGAGGTTTGATCCAAGGAAGGGGAAGACAAACCTAGTTCATGGATTAAGAGCGTCTCTCCAGCATCCAGGTACCTCTCGAGGGATAAACTTGTACAGTAAACAGTTATTATAATCAAAACTAAGCTCTAAACCCACCAGGGTCATACAGCACACACACACACACACACACACACACAGATGAAAGCTGGTTACACATTATATGAGTACACAAATTATCACCAAATCCAAATTATAGTCATGGAAAGCACTAAACCTGTACTGGCTATAGTGAACCTAACAGAATGGAAGGCATTCAAGCTCAATCCAAGGAACTCGAGCACTAGCATCAATTATTTATATGGGGTAGTACTAAATCCGTAGGGAATATACAGCCCAGTAGCATCGAGGAACCTCCCTTGAGGGGTACCATATTCAAAACCATAGCTTTTTAAATAGTGCATATTAAATGTTGGACATTATGTATAGGTCATTATCATGGAGAAGTGCTAAACCTGTACAGATTATGCAACACCTGTGGGGGAGGGAGGATGGAAGGCATTCAAGCTTAATTCAGAGAACTGGAGCACAGATCCAATTCCCTAGATCAAGAGCCCTTCTACCCAAGCGCTTGAAGGAAGGTGCTTAATAGTTGATGCTACAAGATGATTCTGTTCTTATTTGGATCATGCCCTATTGCCTCCCATTCCCTAGGTACTGACCCCTGCAGGTTTAACAACTGGAAAAGGGGTAGCTACAATTGCTTGGATCAAGAGCCTTCATTGGCATCAAGGAATTACCCCATGAAGATTCCCTTTTCAAAGTACCACAGTAAACTCTATTCACACATTATATTTATGAGGAAAAATACCCATCAGTAGGGATCATACTGCATTTGAGGATGGGAGCTAATAGATTTTGATCTAAAGCAGCAGCAAGTCCTTGGATCAAGTGTTCTTCACTAGCACCTCCCTTGAAGTACCCTCATGCACCATAGCTGGTAAAGGGTACAGTCTGCAGTAGAAAGGGTAACAAGGAGCAATCGGTTTGGGTGATGGATTGTGGTATTTCGTAGAATTGAAGATAGGGCACATAGCAAGGGCTTGGGAAACTTCAGTGGGCGGGCAAAACACTAACAACACTGTCGCAGTGTGACCAAGATCTCTGTACTGAAACTTTTCCAATGAAATGGCAGTATTTGCATTTTCTCTCTCTCTCTCTCTACTAAATTCTTGGTATCACATACCATTTTTACCAGAGCACTAAGTGATGCTCTACAGTGTAAGCAGCTTGATAAGGGGCAAATTTTGAAAAAAGTATACTATTATATTAAAAAATTCCAAAGTGCAGTACAACCTGTCTGCAGAAGTCTTCCTCACAATCCTCAAATGTCTGTAGCAGAATGCAAGTGAGAAAATGAGTCTGCAAGTTTACATGTAGCAACTTCTTCGAAAGACTCGATGTATATAATTAAGAGAGACAGGTAGTGGAACAAAGGACATTAAGGTAACGTCATGGCACTGGGTGGGAACTGCTTACCGTTAAACTGTGGCCATATAGGTAAAGTATCATTGTATTAATGGTATAAAATGACAACAAATAGACGAGTAGGACGTGCAACATTCAGATATTTTTAATGCTTAGATGTTTTGCCTGTAAAGCAGGTATTTTCAGTCAAATGCAAAGGCAACTAATATATTGGAGACAACTGAAGATGTTGAGGTGTTCAGTACCTCAGCTTTGAGTGACAGTGGAAGAAGTGGAGACTTAAGGCATGCAATGACTGTCTTGATAGAATGGATGAAGTTATCTTGGGGTGTGTAGTCCTTTAGCCTTCACGGAAGATGTTCAGATCCATAACTATGGAAGATCCAAACTATGGAATAGAATATCAGTGGTAAAATATACCAACAAGTATGCCTTATTCTCAAGATATGGAACAGAACATCTCAAAATCTCTAGTTCAAATGTCCCCAGTGTATTAGTCACTTCTGTATTCAACTGAAGAAGAATGCTGCACAAGCAATCACAGCATTAAAGATACCTAAATGGCACAAGTATCTTATCTATGGGTATAGGAAGTTCCAGTCAATGAAACCCAAGGCATCAACAAAAACCATAATCCATCCACTACAAAAAGAAGTCTGCCTTCAGAGGGATGTTACAGGCAGATGAATAAGTTTGGGTCAAAATACAGTTTAAGTACGGAAAATTTACATCAAAAGTAAAATAGGCTGTGAAGAAATTTTTGTGGTATAAAGGGCTACAATGAAAATTTTGATTAAATATCTTCCATGTAATTTTTATTTTCTACAGATTTGGCAGTAACTTAAAACCTGAAATGTTTGTAATAAAAACCAACAGGAATGTCAAGCAACCTCTGCCAAAGTTCCAGTAAAAAAATACAGTACTTCAAAATACATTACCACCAATTCCTGAAATATATGCAACCCCCTTTCTCCCCCGTGCTTACAACCTAATTAGTTCCAGGAGACCGTTGCCAGTCATGCTGTTTTAAGCTGAACTGCCATTTCCCACTGCTACAAAGTTATAAATGCAATTTCTGTTAACCAATATCAAACTAAAATTTAGGAATTTTATGGGCAGTCTTACCTGGAAAAAAAAAAATGGCCGTAAATGTGGGGAAAAGACAAATCACTGGTCGCCTGCACATTATTATAATTAATTATGAGCAGTGATAATACTGTAATGAAAAATATATTAGAGTTTATAAAGATTTATGCTTGGAGAAAGCAAAATGTAATAAGCATCAAATAAGGCTGCTGCAACACACTGAAATCTATGAAAAGAAACATCGTTCTATTTTGAGTTAGTTTCTAGTCACTTTTCTATGGGTAACTTGGACTTAGATTTTTAAATAAATACTTCAAATTAATTTCTAAGATAGCTAATTGAAAATAATTTCAGCAAATCTTCATAAATGAACAGAAGATGGTAAAAGTTCTCATCTTCACAAATGAATTAGCAAGAAACACCAAGACGACATATTTGTATTAAGAACTGATTCTCTGTTATCAGTACCTACTGAATACATTATAGAAATAGTATTAAGGCTTATGCCAAAACTTAATCTTATAAAATGATAAAAGTTACAGGATAGCATTAAATATCCTCAAGATAATATTTACTCTAAGACACAAGATATGAAACACATTGCTTGGGAAAACATACACAAGTCAATTACAGTATTAAAATGTATAGTAATACCATTCATAGATTTTGAACCATTTATTACAATAATTAATACCAAAAGACAAAAATAATAATTCTTCAGGGTAAAGCTTTAATTTGATAACCAAAATAACTGTCGATGTACATAACCAGGAAAGAGTGTGACCATATTGTCTTGGCAGACTTAGCATGGGAAAAAGTAAGTTTCCTTGAAATATTTCAGCAACTAATCCCTCTTGTGGCTAATCTAACATTTAAAACAAGTAAATCTAGTTTTTCTTGTGCTCTACATCAGAATGCAAACGTAGAACTTCTTTGGCTACAGATCCATACAAAAGCTTGCCAGTCTCATCAAAGTAGTTCTCAACAGTGAGGACAGTGCGGGCTTCTTTGGCCTTCCCTGTCTTGCCAGCTTTCTGAGTAACGCGCAGGTGGTACTTATTGTCAAACCTGAAATAGTAGAAAGAATATATAAAACACCTTGCATTCAAAGACAGCAGGTATGTTGCAGAATCAAGTCCTCAAAAGTATGCCATTAAGTTATCATATGGTATTTTTGTTAAATTTCCATTTTCTTAGTGACATAAGTAAGATGTCTTTCCACATCCTCCCATACACCATGTGTATCATAGGTGTGTTAAATGCTGGGATCAAGATGTTGGTAACCTTTTACTGAATGCAACTTATGAAAAGGTAAAGGAGAGAAAACTTTTATTTTAGATATTTGAATATGCATGGATGTACAGTATTACAGAGATACAGTCTTTAGCAAAACAAACCCAAATGTTGCAAAGAATCTTCATGGCTATGGTGCTCTTCACACTAACTCCAAGGCTGAGGAACTGATACCTCATCTTATGTACATAGTTCTAATGTCTTCCAATTATGTCCTTGAATTTGTATTGATAAAGCCACTGGGTGGTGAAACATCTACAATAAAGACACCCAGATGTTGCACATGTGTCTAATTTTCACCTATAATTTATGCCAAAGGTTATGCTGAGTGCCTAGTTAGATAAGGACCGTGGGTCAAGTATCACCTCTCACAAACCACTCAACTCCAGAACTGAGTTAAAGTGAAACAGCATCAGGGAAAAGATGATGGCAGTTTAAATAATGTTTATGAGATCAAGATGTGCTGTGAATATTTTCAAGAGAAGATGTGGAAAAGCGCTTAAAATACTGATACAAAAATGTTAATTCAGAGAGTGAAGAAGCATTGTGGAAATGGTTTGTTTATTTAAATGAAATGGAACAAGGCGTGTTGATCAAGGTGGTACATGAACCTAGGGTAGATGTACACAGTATATGTTCATAAGTAAGTTTGAGGACTTCGTAAATTTTTTTTTTTTTTTTTTTTTCAACAAGTCGGCCGTCTCCCACCGAGGCAGGGTGACCCAAAAAAGAAAGAAAATCCCCAAAAAGAAAATACTTTCATCATCATTCAACACTTTCACCACACTCGCACATTATCACTGTTTTTGCAGAGGTGCTCAGAATACAACAGTCTAGAAGCATACACATATAAAGATACACAACATATCCCTCCAAACTGCCAATATCCCAAACCCCTCCTTTAAAGTGCAGGCATTGTACTTCCCATTTCCAGGACTCAAGTAAATGCTTTTTGTAATATAATTTATACTAAAGTCCTTCTTTAAACTAGCCTTGAGCATGGGAGGCAGCATATGCTGAAGGAACTGCCAAAGCACGTAATTATTCTCTAGCTTTAAGAAATTACATTATACAATTAACCGTAATCACAGAAGCTACCTCATTATGCCACCAAGGTCTTCACAGATGCTCATGTAATTATAAAACTTATGTCTAAGCATCAGTGGTAAATGTCAATGCCTAGTGAATGCAATTAGATGTCTATCACAGTCAGCAGCAGAAAACAGCACGATTCCCTTTACGTGGCTGTTCAAAGGTGATGCAAATGACCCCTATCCTCAATCTACAAAGAATTAGTCTTATATTAACTATGCAGAAAATGTATCCAGACTTGCATGTCATTCCAAACCCTCTACAGCCTGCAGCTTATCAGGATGACTACTACCCCATTACATAGCCTAGATAATATATAGATATGTCAGAAAGATTCAGCTTTCAATTAGTGCAACATCAGACATATTACTACAGCTCTTACCTCTTAAGAGAAGAGGAAGCATTCCATACATCATCTGGGTCAATCCCAGCAGCATCTTTCTTCAGGGCTGTGCAGAAGATGCCACACTCCAGGTAGGTAGTGTACCATGTTAATACACCCATCATAATGAAATAGGATATCACACATACACACATTACAGTTCTGAAAATTTATAAAGGCTATGAATAGTAGTAGCTGAAAAGATTTTTGAGGTATTATAATATACAGCACAGGGATTAAGTGAGAAGAGTACAGTGAACCCTCGGCTTATGAACGTATTGCATATGTTAAACCCGCCCAACAAAGCGTTTGAGCATAAAAATTTTGGCCTGGCTAACAATAAAAAACTCGCTCAATGTGATTTGTCCCAAACCTGTCTGTCCAGCCTGAGCGCCTCAGCTGCCCTGCCATCATTGTTTACAAGCCAGGGTGGCCGGTTTCATGATACATTCGATACATTTTGTATTATTCCATTGTTTATAGTCCTTGTAACTGCTAAATAAGCCACCAAGGGCCCAATGAAAACTTCTAGTGCCAATCCTGTGGTAAAAAGGGCGAGAAATACTATCGAAATACTATCACACTAAGGTCAGCTGCTGCTGCACCACCGTCAGCTGTTGCTGCACCACCGTCAGCTGTACTACTCGAAGATGTGGAGAGTGTTGTTGGTGTGGCTTAACGAGAAACAATTACCGAGAAACAATTAACCCCAGAGGGTTAGCCACCCAGGATAACCCAAGAAAGTCAGCGAGTCATCGAGGACCGTAACTTGTTTCCATTAGGGTCCTTAATCTTGTCCCCCAGGACGCGACCCACACCAGTTGACTAACACCCAGGTGAACAGGAAAAAATGCCTGGAACTAGTGCTCATATTGGTGAATTTAAGACCAGCAAAGGTTGGTTTGAGAGATTTAAGAATCGTAGTGGCATACACAGTGTGATAAGGCATGGCGAAGCTGAAAAATTCCAACCCCAACAAGTGTTCAATTGTGACGAAACAGGCCTGTTCTGGAAGAAAATGCCAAACAGGACCTACATTACTCAGGAGGAAAAGGCACTTCCAGGACACAAGCCTATGAAAGACAGGCTAACTTTCCTGTTTTGTTGTAACGCTAGTGGGGATTGCAAAGTGAAGCCTTTACACATGTATCACTCTGAAAATCCCAGTGTGTTCAAGAAAAATAGTGTCTCATCACTCATCAATACTCTTCAATAAAGGTGTCATTTTAACATTTATTTATATAGTTATTGTGCATGTCTCATTGTTTTCTTTGTAGGGAAATGTATATTTCATGAACAAAAAATTATTTTTTTTTAATACTTTTGGGTGTCTGGAACAGATTAATTGGATTTCCATTATTTCTTATGGGGAAAATTAATTCGGCTAACAATAATTTTGCCTAACGATGAGGTCTCAGGAACGGATTAATATCATTAGCCGAGGGTCCACTGTATAGGCATTAGCTCAATAATTGAGGGGAGGGAAGATTATTATAGTCACAGGAAAGAGCTAAACACATAAGGTTCATACAGTGCCATTATGCTACAGTTGGGGCAGAAAGTGCTCAACAACTGAGGGAATTGATGTAATACAAATGATTAAACATTCTGAGGGAAAGGTATATCTATAGTTGAAATGGATATTTGGAGTGTAGGGTTTCCATAAGATAGTTCCCATATGGTTATTTTAAAATATAATGAACAAGTAGACTGCCATCCCTACATGATGACCACTACTGCAGAGTACTGTATTATTATACTGAGACACACATCAAGCCTATAAATATTTTAGTATTTCATTGCATCCACAGAGATTTCACATTTAGCTGAATAGCATTTTAGGTTGTTCTATATGCACTCATTTTCTTTTTACAAGCTATATCTCCTTCAAAGTCTCATAATGCTTTTCCTTAAACACTACAATCTTATATCTTCTTGTACAAAAATGATGACATTTTCTGTGATAAAAGAATCTAACAAACTTCACACTGTTACACTACATACCGAATTCCATCACTTGGCATCCTTTCTATAAAAGTGTCTTTCAAGTCAGCTTGTGAATGCACATCTTTCCATTCAAGCATTACGTACTTGCCCTTCATTTTGTTTTCAACACGCCAGCTGTTAACCACCAAGGCAGGGTAACCCAAGAGAGAAGAAACACGTTCATCATCATCCATTCAATCTCTTTCCTACCAGAAGTGCCAACATTACAGTTTAGATGGCCCTCTGAACTGAAACATCCTCACCACTCCTTTACAGTACAGTACAGGACAAACAAGTAATTTTTCACATTATCTATCAAGATATAAACTTTTATATAGTGAAACACATTATGCCATTATACTACTGTGGCAATCATATTTATTTGTGACCAACAGAAATTATAAATGAAGGCCCAAATACTTCATTACTTAAATATTACTCATCAATTACCAGATTTTCAGTGGGATACAGCCGGTTTGTTGAAAGAAAGAATTACCAGATTTAAAGCTAAACTGTAGTAACAAGAGAAGGCATTTTTTTAATATCTGTGCATACACCTAAGTGCAATATATATTATGTTTATAACATTTTATTAATCTTAAGTTGTATCTTCCCTAAAATGCTATGCATAACCAGGGGCTTTCCATGGATACTATCAAATGTCATCTTACCTTGTAAAACTATGAATTGTACTCTGTGTTTTGGAAATAAAAGTGAATATTTTTAAAGTACGTAATTTCAAGGCCATTAAAAAAAAGTAGAAGTGGTGGAATTCTTACCTGGACTGTGGAAATGGATAGAGCAGATCCCAAATGAGAGCAAAGACTGAGAATCCCACTGCCACAGATGATATTATTAGTCGCCCATCAAGAAGCTTGTGAGACTCAATGTAGCTAAAGCGAGACAACAACACCTAAAGTGAAAATAATTATGCGTGTGGTTAGGCTTCAAAAAATAAATAAATCTGAATACAGAAAGCTATAAACTGTAATATTTCAAAAAGCTTTAAATAAATACAGTGAATCTTTGATTAACTAATAGAGAGGGAGAAGGTGTCCAGTAAAGCCAATTGCCCATCAACTCCAAATTGTCAAAACAACCTTTCATTATCATAACTAAAGCACAATTCTGTATTTTAAGAGACATAGTCCATTAAATTAAAAAATAAATTTACCCAGTGTACTATAACAACAGACAATATTGGATTTAACAAATTTGTCTGCTATTTCTGAATACTGTCTGGCCATAGATTTTCTGTTAAATCCAAAATCCATTAAATTGTAGTCCATTAAATCAAGGCTTCACTGTACTTAATATTCTGAAATTGAATTCAAACTTGTGTAGTAAGTTTCTCTAGCTAACAATACTTACATCCTTCACTGCATCATCAAGGGCATTTTTAAGAGCATTGCCATCCCATTTATTAACCTTCGGAGGATTTTCCTCCATTGTCTGTAAGAATTAGGTACAAAATTAATGAACTACACATGAAAAGCTTAAAAAATATATCCATAAAAATTTTAATAATGAAAAACAATATTTTAACACAATGCTTAATCTAGCAACTAATCAGCTCCAAGGATCAGCAGATTTTTGAGGAAATTCTATGAATAGTCAAGAATAACCAATTGCCAGCTTATCTTTTATTCTCCACTACTCCATCTGTCTCTTCCCTCACCCTTCTATATCTTTATTTACTACAAGTACATGTACATGGTACACAGGCCTAGCTGACATCAATGATATACTACTACATATAGAAAGCTGTTTGTTATGCTGAGCATTTCAGGCAAATTAGGTCAGTTTTTGTCCTAGGATATGGCCCACACCAGTCGACTAACACCCAGGTACCCATTTTACACTGATGGGTGAACAGAAACAGCAGGTGTCATATGGAAACACATCCCTAATGTTTTCTAGCAGTACTGGAGGAGATTCGAACCCCAGACCTCAGTGTGTGAGCTGAGTGTGCTGGTACAGTAGTGTGGTGGTGGGACGCATATCTATACATAAACAGCTTTACTTAACAGCTTTACTTATACCATATGTGTGTACAGGGGGGCAATGTGGCAGATGTTACAAATGTATGGAATAGGAGGCAGGTTACTGAAAGCATTGAAGAGTTTTTATGAGGATAGTGAGGCTCAGGTTAGAGTATGTAGGAGATAGGGAGATTATTTCCCAGTAAAAGTAGGTCTTAGACAAGGATGTGTGATGTCACTATGGTTGTTCAATATATTTATAGATGGGGTTGTAAGAGAAGTGAATGCGAGGGTGTTGGCAAGAGGTGTGGGGTTAAAAGACAAAGAATTTAACACAAAGTGGGAGTTGTCACAGTTGATATTTGCTTTTGACACTGTGCTTTTGGGAGATTCTGAAAAGAAGCTGCAGAGGTTGGTGGATGAGTTTGGTAGGGTATGCAAAAGAAAATTAAAAGTGAATACAGGAAAGAGTAAGGTGATGAAGATAACAAAAATATTAGATAACGGAAGATTGGATATCAGATTGGAAGGAGGGAGTATGGAGGAGGTGAATGTATTCAGATATTTAGGGGTGGACGTGTCAGCAGATGGGTCTATGAAAGATGAGGTGAATCATAGAATTCACAAGGGATAAAAGGTGGGTGGTGCACTGAGGAGTCTGTGGAGACAAAGAACTTTGTCCAAGGAAGCAAAGAGGGTAATGTATGAGAGTATAGTTATACCAACACTCTTATATGGGTGTGAAGCATGGGTGGTGAATGCTGCAACAAGAAGGCTGGAGGCAGTGGAGATGTCATGTCTGAGGGCAATGTGTGGTGTGAATATAATGCAGAGGGCTGAGGAGGGGCTGTTGAGGTGGTTTGGATATGAAGAGAGGATGGAACAAAATAGAATGACTTCGAAAGTGTATAAATCTGTAGTGGAAGGAAGACGGGATATGGGTCAGCCTAGAAAAGGTTGAAAGAAGGGGGTAAAGGTTTTGTGTGCGAGGGGGTTGGACTTCCAGCAAGCATGCATGAGCATGTTAGATAGGAGCAAATGGAGACAAATGGTATTTAGGACTTGATGTGCTGTTGGAGTGTGAGCAAGGTAAAATTTATGAAGGGATCCAGGGAAACCAGCAGGCCAGACTTGAGTCCTGGAGATGGGAAGTACAGTGCCTGCACTCTGAAGGTGGGGTGTTAATGTTGCAGTTTTATAACTGCAGTGTAAGTGCACCTCTGGCAAGACAATGATGGAGTGAATGATGAAAGTTTTTCTTTTTCAGGCCATACTACCTTGGTGCGAAACAGCCAGGGTTAATAAAATGCTATTTATGTATAAATGGATGAAAGGATAAATGGATGGGATGGGATGGATAGATAAATAGTAAGGTATACCTTGTTAATACAGTGTTCATTGTAGTGTGCTTTGCTAATACAGTGCTTTTCAATTATATTCATGTTCATTATTTTCGGCGCTTGTCTTGCCTTTAAGATGGCGTTTGTCAATTTTCAAATTTTTTTATTTATTTTTACATTTGCATTTTTTAGGCCTATTGATATTGCACACTTAATAAATGACAGTGTAAACATGCTTTTAGGCTTTTGTACATACTGGAAAGTGAAAAAAAGGGCTGTGATTTGCTTCAAGGTGATATTTGCTTTACAATGGTGGTTTGAAACGTAACTTGCCCTTTTAGTGAGGTATGCATGTACTGTACTATACATGAGGCAAGACAACACTTACATAGCTCTGGCAGTACACACACACTTACTTCAGCCTCACTTACAATATACTGTATGCAGTTTACAGTGTAAGTCAGATTTACATATTTTCCATAAAAATACAAGTCATGCTTACAGATTCGCAGGATTTCTTATTTGTGGTGTTGATTATCCAACCTTCTACTAATGAGCAACTGACAATGATGCAATTATCCACAGTATTTCTGGACGTATCCATTTTTCCAGGTTTGGCCCCAATGCCTTAACTGAAAACTAACAAAAAATTTCACTTGTGTTCAATGGCCTTCCCATGCCCAAATATATTTATTATTTCTTATAAAATGCCAATTCTGTATTACCCAGATTAGAAAGATTCAGGGATTATGGCAAACTGGTTAACTGAACTCGAGTCATTGAGGGGGGAAGTACAGCGCCTAAAGGATGGTTGAGGATGCTGCACTTCAGAGGGTCATCTGAGCTGTAATGTCAGAACACTCCAGTTCTCGACCAGCCGGGCTGTAGTTTGTACACTGGTTTTCATGCAGCCAGCAGTAACAGCCTGGTTGATCAGGCTCTGATCCACAGCGAGGTCTGGTCATGGACTGGACTGCAGGGGCGCTGACCCCTGGAATACCCTCCAGGTATACTAAGACAGCAAGTGAATGAGTGATGGTGATTGTGTTTCATTTTTTTTAGGTCCCCCAACCTTTGGAGATGGCCGATGCTAAAAAAAAAAAAAAAAAAAAACTACTGCGATCTCTCTTGGAAACACAACATGAAACAAAATCTCATTTTTTTTTTAATACAATGTTGTAATATTCAAGATTTTTAGTTTTGCCGGAACACTGTGTTAGCCTCACAAGTTAGGTAGGGACACGTGTGCACTTTAATAAAAATTAAGAGAATAAACAAGAATTTTTACGAAGTACATCACGGGCAAATTGTCACCTGACACTTTCAAAACGTGTGTAATAATTATAATGCAAATTTGTGTCTGTACAAGCAAAAACAAATGCACAAATTTACAAGTAATTATACACAACCTGAAATATAATTTAATTCTACAATAAAACTAAAAATATTTAGAGAACAGAATATATACTTGAGAAGTGTATATTTCTGTGTATATACACCCAGAGTTTACCTTTAATCCTTATTTTAGGTATTAAAATATTGACTGGTGTGGAACAGGTTGCATACAACATTATTGACACTTTATTATTATTATAGTCAAAACTAAGCGGTAAACCCACAAGGGTCCTACAGCTAATGACTAAGTTTTGAAGCACAATTAACAAACCTTATGGAACAATTCTCAATTATATTTTACATGGTACTGTACATGCAGTCTTTACAGCAACCCGTATGGGCTTGGGGGATGTGGGAAGTTATCAGGTTTAATCCCAGGAGAGGGAGGCTAGCTCCATATCCTTGGATCACGACTCCACTACCATCAAGGCACTTGTCATACAGAATTGCATTCATGAGGCGAGTGCTAAGCCCGCACGAGTCATAGAGCCTGGGCGAGTGGGAAGCTTTCAGGTTCGATCCTAGGAACAGGAGAGCAGGTCTAATTCCTCGGATCAAGACCCCTGAGCAGCACCTCCCTCGACGGACACCACTGGCAGCGTCTACCAGGGACGCTTTTTTTACATTTTTTCCTAATAAATATAAAGAAATACGTAGCCAGAAGCGAGAGACGAGTGCCATACTTACAGCAACTACCTTCTCGGGCATGATGCCACCTTCCTGTGCCTCTTAATATACAAAAATATGGTGTGGCAGCAAGTGCCAACTGAACGGTGTTGTGGTGTCTGGGGAGAGCGCCCGCGCGCGCGCACTCTCCCATACACTTTTCCCCCTCCTGCCTTAATTAACGTTATTTAGCCTCCTTATATGCATTTGCAATTCTTTTTACAGTTATCTTCTATAGTAATATGCGTATCAATTGACTAGGATAGCCCAGTAAAGTCAAATAAAGTGATATAATAAGCGTGACTGGGGCGCCAATGGTAAGCCTCGACGTGCTGGGTCAGGCTGGCGCCAACTTTCAAATTATTGAGATTTTTATTCTGGTAATTAAGCCCGAGGGTTAGTAATCCAGGTTAGTAAGTAACTTGGTTTATTTAGGTACAGGCACACATAAGTACAATTATCATATATATTATAAATTACTTAGTATAACCCCCTAAAAAGTCAGAGAGTGACTTATTTCTATTGGTGTCCTTGTAATATCTTATTTTAACCTTAAAAGTTAAAGCAGGTAAGTAACTTAACTGTGTGAAAATCAGTTACAATAAAAGGATATATATTAACTCACTGTCATCAGGCTGTCTGGCTTATGTTTAATTAGTGGGGGTTTAAAGCTTCTCTGCTACCTAAGAGTCCAATGGAAATAAGTCACTTTGTCTCACTTTTTTGGGTTATGGTAGGTAATTTACATTACGTATGATAATTGTACTTATGTATACCTGTGCCTAAATAAAGTTACTTATGACTTTTCCATCACCAGTCAAAGATACTTATCTCCAACAGGGATTAAAGTAAACTCTGTATATACACTAAGAGAAATATATATATATCCTGTTTCCATTAGCGTTTTCTAATCCTTTCCTCATCCCTCCCCAGGATGCGACCCCGCAACAAGTCACCTAACACCCAGGTACCTACTTACTGCTAGTTGAACGGTGACAATAGGTGTATGGTAGAAACCCGATGTTTCCTCTCGTCCGGGGAAGGAACCCCAGTCCACCACTTGTGAGGTGAGGCCGCTACCCATTAAGCCACCAGCACTGGAGTATAGAGATGTTGGTGAGATTATGAAAGGAATGATGCCCACTGTCTTCTCTCTCCTCACTGGTTGTCCATCCCTCCCTTCCTCCTTCTCCTTCTTCTCTATAAGCTGATCTCTATAAGCTGATTACGATGCTCTCCATTCCTTGCCAGGCCCTGATCCACCGCGAGGCTTGGTCACGGACCGGGCCGTGTGGGCGTTGACCTGGAGGTTACCTGGAGGTTATTCCGGGGATCAACGCCCCCGCGGCCCGGTCCATGACCAGGCCTCCCGATGGATCAGGGCCTGATCAACCAGGCTATTACTGCTGGCCGCACGCAGTCCAACGTACGAGCCACAGCCCGGCTGATCCGGCATTGACTTTAGGTATCTGTCCAGCTCTCTCTTCAAGGCAGCCAGGGGTTTATTGGCAATTCCCTTAATGCTTGATGGGAGGCTGTTGAACAGTTTTGGGCCCCAGACACTTATGGTGTTTTCTCTTAGTGTACCAATGGCGCCCCTACTTTTTATTGGCGGCATTTTGCATCGCCTGCCCAGTCTTTTACTTTCGTAGGGAGTGATTTCTGTGTGCAGATTTGGGACCATTCCTTCCAAGATTTTCCAAGTGTAGATTATGATATATCTCTCCCTCCTGCGTTCCAACGAGTACAAGTCAAGTGCTTCCAAGCGTTCCCAGTAGTTAAGGTGCTTGACAGAACTTATACGTGCAGTAAAGGATCTCTGTACACTCTCTAGATCTGCGATTTCACCTGCTTTGAATGGACCCCTGAAATCCCCTCCAGATATACTCCAGCACCAAACTGAGAGAATACGATAACCTTCTAAACTCCATGCTGGAGAGACTTCCAGACCTTTTCCTGGACGAATCACAGATTAGATAAGAGGTCCCCAAACTCTTCAGCTAGTCGACCCCTTCATGAAGTTACAGTTTGTTCAGTGCCCCCAAACATTTTTATTTTATGACGATCTGTTGGAGTGTGAGCAGGGTAATATTTAGTGAAGGGATTCAGGGAAACTGGTTATTTTATATAACCGGACTTGAGTCCTGGAAATGGGAAGTACAATGCCTGCACTTTAAAGGAGGGGTTTGGGATATTGGCAGTTTGGAGAGATATATTGTGTATTTTTATACGTATATACTTCTAAGCTGTTGTGTTCTGAGCACCTCTGCAAAAACAGTGATTATGTGTGAGTGTGGTGAAAGTGTTGAATGATGATGAAAGTATTTTCTTTTTGGGGATTTTCTTTCTCTTTGGGTCACCCTGCCTCGGTGGGAGACGACCGACTTGTTGAAAAAAAATTAATAAATAGTACTTTAATAATACTATGAATAATAATAATAATAATAATAATAATAATAATAATAATAATAATAATAATAATAATAATAATAATGATGATGATGATGATGACTTCATAAAATATAGGTCATTTTCAAATAATGAAAAATATAATATTTAACATATCCCCCCCCCCTTTTTTTACTGAAACTGTTGATGTCATTAATGGGAATGATACATCTGATGAACGTCAACAAGGTTACTAATATTTGGTTGGAGACTGGAAATATAAACACAAATGCAGTATAATGTGATCCTTTATTGACAACGTTTCACCCACACAGTGGGTTTTTTCAAGTCACACACGGATCTACCTGGGGTTGGAAGGTACGAGAGTATTTATAGGATCTACCCCAAGTAGATCCGTGTGTGACTTGGAAAAGCCCACTGTGTGGGTGAAACGTTGTCAATAAAGGATCACATTATACTGCATTTGTGTTTATATTTCCATTGTGTCGGTATTTTATACCATTTATTTCCATGGTTGGAGACTGATGAGTTTTAGTGGTAAGTCACCAGGCTCTTCCAGGTTCCGTCTGTTTCTCTCCTTAGAATTACATTTGCATGGCTTAAAGCGCCTTCAACCATATACTAACGCCTTTTTAACTTAAGTTTGTAAACCCATTTGTAGACTAATTTAAAAAAATTACTCATTTAGATTGTAAGATACTGTCTACAAATACGACATGAAAACACTCATCTGCCTCACCTACGGTACTACATGTACACTAGGATCTACAACAGGAAATTATCTACGACCAATTATAGCCCAATAAAAAATCTGCCATTAGAATAGTTCCTCAATCTGGTTCCAGGTAACACTACCCGCTATGTAAAAAAACTGAATCTAATTAACGTACAAAGTGTCCACAGGCACTGGTAAGCAGACTGCAAGTACAAGACACCTGGTGGACACATTAACCAAAATATTAACCCAGTACAACAACAATATTGACCCAACGAAATGCTTGGTATACACGGCGCGTTCTTTGGAGAAGACATGAACATTCAGCATTAACCAGCACACCCTGGAGGACAACCTTGTGACGACGTTCCCATCCCTCCTGAACCATTGTCAAGTCACAAGTGGGGAGAGGAAAGTAAAGAAGGCCTGAAGACAATATGGTGCTGGCAGGAGAAGAAGCACTAGAAGCATTATTATTATTATTATTATTATTATTATTATTATTATTATTATTATTATTATTATTAGTAGTAGTAGTAGTAGTAGTAGTAGTAGTAGTGGTGGTGGTGGTAGTAGTAAAATAGCATAAAAATTAGCAGCCACAATAGACTTTTTTAGTTTTAGTCTTTGCACAGGTATAATGCCAGAGCTGAAACAACACCTTGTTATTTCTGAAAATATAACGTGACTTTGCCCTCAGCTTGAGGACGACCAGCGTCACAATCTATGTAGAACTTAAAGTATGAAGCTCCACACACAGCGACACGTCGTTCCAACAGGACTCCAGCGGAAATAACTCACTTTGTCTGACTTTCTTGGGTTATCCTAGGTAATCTACACATATGCTGCTATGTATGATAATTTATATAATTGTATTTATGTGTACCCGTACCTGAATAAACTTACTCTTTACGCCACTGCCCGTAACCCACCTTATCACGGAGACCTCCACCATGATAGTGACACTTCCTGTCTGACAGTATTTCGTTATATGTAAATTACATTACCTGTACACTGCAGAAAAGAAAGAAATTACTTGTATTTGTATTTATACGATGCAAGGTGTGTCTCTCCTCCAATAACAATAACAATAATTCTAATATTTATTTCTACAAATACATGATACAACTTATACAGACCATAGCTGACATCAATGACATACTACTATACATAAGCCCCTTGTTGTGCAGAGCATTTCGGGTAAATTAGGTTAATTTTGTCCCCAGGATGCGACCCACACTAGTCGACTAACACCCAGGTACCTATTTACTGCTAGGTGAACACGTAGAGTAGGTGTCTTAAGGAAACACGTCCTAATGTTTCCAGCTGTACTGGGGATCGAACCACGGACCTCAGCGTGTGAGCTGAGCGCTCAAGTTGGTAGACCTCAGCAGGGAGACGAGTGTCTAGTGTGATCCACATATGCTTCACATTCAGGGCTGATAATGTTTATGTGTTCACTCCTCATTACAGTCAGGGATGTGAAAAGTGGACAAAAACCAAGGAGTCAAGGTGAGGCTAACAGAAGCAAGGTTTGTGAGTGTCTTGAGGGTAGGGCGGGGCAGGAGAAAAAACAGAGATGGGTAGGGAGTGAAGAGAGACAGGGGATGGGTAATGGGAGGAGGGTGATGTAGGGAAGGGCGAGAGGGAGCACCGGGAAGCATCATTAATAATAATAATAATAATAATAATAATAATAATAATAATAATAATAATAATAATAATAATAATAATTATAATGATAATAATAATAATAATATTAATAATAATAATCTTTATTTCTACAAGTACATGATATAACATGCTACAACTTATACAGACCATAGCTGACATCAATGACATACTACTATATAGAAAGCCGCTTGTTATGCAGAGTATTTCGGGCAAATTAGGTCAGTTTTGTCCCAGGATGCGACCCACACCAGTCTACTAACACCCAGGTACCTATTTCACTGCTAGGTGAACAAGGGCAGCAGGTGTATTAAGGAATCACCTTAATGTTTTCACCCGCACCGGGGATCGAACCACGGACTTCAATGTGCGCTACCAACCGAGT